AGTCTGGGCGACAGAGTGAGACTCCGACTCAAAAAAAAAAAAAGAAAAATAGTATATACAAGGGTACTTAATGAAGCATTACTTGGAATAGGGGGGAAAAGCAACCAGTAAATGTTCATCAATAATTAAACGATGGATTCCATAAAATGAAAATATGTGTGTTTATTTTTTAAAATGAGGCCGATCTTTATGTACTGATGTGGAACTCTTCGTGATATCAAACCAAAATTCCAAGCACAGAACAGTGTTAATATGCTGTCATCTATGTTGAAAAAGAATACACATTCCAATATATTTGGTTTCATACGCACGGAGTGTCTTTGGAGGGACTCAGAAGAGGCTAGGAACAGTGCAGGAGGGGAAGGGTCATCTGAGCCCCCTCTTCCCACGTGGCGACGGGCTGGCTTGGAAAACCGGCTCTCTTGCATGATATAGGAGGAGGAGGCAGATTCTGGTGTCGAGAACTAGCATCAAGTGTCCCAAAGGCGTCTTAGCTTTGGGGACAGGCTTGGTCTTGTCCAGATAGGCACTTCCTCAAGGGTAACTCCCTTCAGCTGTCCCAACAGAACCACATGCCTGCTGCCTGGTGTGGACTTGTTCCCCCCGCCCGACCTGCCTGAGGGGGTGTGGACAGCTAACATTTACCCAGGCCCTGCCCTAGGAGATGAGGGAGATAGCACTGGCCTCTCCTCTCTTCCCCATTCTTCCTCCCACCCCGCCCCCAGACACACCACTCCCCGCCAACAGGTCTGTCCTGAAGCACCTGGAAGTTGGGAGGAAACTGCAAGGAGAGGCCTGACTCCTCCTGTAAACAAAGAAGGATCCCACTGAAAGACAGATGGCTTTATCATGAGTCAAAGTCACTTAATATGAAAATGGTTTTTATTTCCCAGTACAAAGCCAGATACTAAGACTATGAAAAACTGGCCAGAGGCCATGAAGGACCGAAGACCCTCTTTGGCCTGGTGCCCTTGACGCGGTGCAGTGCCACAGGGTCCCGGGGACAGCAGCAAAAGCCTCGGGCCAGTGGTGAGGTGGGCAAGGGAGGCCACCTGCCAGCTCCCCCCACCTCCCGGGGTAGGGGTCTGAGGTTCGTGGCTGCCACTGGGGGCCACCGGTTCTCTGGCCCAGCAATGAACTGGAGGAGGGCGGGAGGAGCCGGGACGGGGCAGACAGGTGCAGGAGGTGTGAGCCTCTCCACACCGGGAAGCTCCGTTTTTATCCCATGGCTGCAGGTGAGCATCGTAGGGCAAGAGCTGAGAATGACATTAGGGCGCTCCTGCCCACAAAGGCACCTTCAGTCTCTCCGCCACATCCCGATGATAAAGTCTGGAGCCCTTGGACAAGTGGACGTGGGTCTGAGACTTAAGGCTTTTGGAAGTGAGCCTGTCGTGACAGGGTCTGGGGACTCCGGGGGAGGTGCTAAGAGGTGTGTGTACGGGTGACAGGTGAGCCGCTGGTCCTCTCTTTAGTATCTAGGGGTACGTGTGAGGGCTCAGGCCTCGCCCTCCTGTCCGCTGTCATCCATGCTGGCCTGCCTCACCACCTTCCGGATCCGGGGTGTGGAGGAAATGCCAGCTTCTCCCCGCCCATCTTCCTGCTTCTCGAAGTCCCCGGTCCGGCTGGCCACCAGGGCAGCGCCCTGGAGGGCAACCACAGCCTGGTGGGGCTTCAGGGCAGGCCAAGGCCCCTTGCCCGCCTGCTGGCCTCCCTTGGCCCTCGAGAGCAGGGGGCAGGGCCGTGGCGATTCTTCGTCTGAAGACTCATGGGATGAGAACACCTGGACGGGGACGAGTGTAAGAAAGATTAGCCGGGCATGGTGGCGGGCACCTGTAGCCCCAGCGGGAGGCTGAATCAGGAGGATCGCTGGAGCCCAGGATGTCGAGGTTACAGTGAGCTATGATTGTGCTCTCTAGCCTGGGCGACCGAGTGAGACCCTGTCTCTAAAAAAAGAAAATGAAAAAGAACAAAAAGGAAGAAGAGCCTGGGGAAGTTTTTCCAGGGTAGGGGGCTGTGAGCGTAGAGCCAGGAAAAGGGTAAGAGTGGAATGTTTGTTGAATGCCTACAGGAAAACCGAGCTGTTCGCAGGCCGCACTTCCCTGGGAGGGAAAACAGCACACCAGCCCCGCTGCCTCTGCCCCCTGCACCCTACCTCCAGGGAGCTTTCTCCTGCCCCCAGAAGCCCTCCTCAGCCTGTGCCACCCCTGGAGGCCTGGGCCTCGCTTCTCTCCCCTCTGCCTTTGTGCAGTCAGCCCCGCGAGCCACAGAGACACCTCCTGGTGACAGCTCTTGAACCGGGCGTATGAGTGCGTGTGTCTGGTGCTGGGTGAGGACCCCCTGCCTTTGGCAATACCCACACCTGCCCATCAGTCCTCCAAGCCTCCCCGTTCTTCCTTCGGGACCCAACACCTCCTCCAGGAAGCCCGGCCCCATGTTCCCGCCCTCAGTGGACTCCTTCCTCCAGGTCGGCCGTTTGGCCCTAAGTCACGCGTGGGGCCTGGCTTCCCAGGACAAGGGCCAGCTTCCGGTCAGAGACTTGTGCTCTGCAGCACTTAGCACAGAGGGTGCTCCCTTACTCAGTACTTGGCCGGTGTGAGTGCTAAGACCCCTCTCCCACCCCATCCTTTAACTCCTGGGATCTGGGAGGGGCTTCAGAGACCATCTTACCCGCCCCCATGTCCTGGAACCTGCCTGCGACCTCGGGGCTGGCTCAACAAGGGGCCCTCAGAAGAGGCCTGTCCCTTGTCCCTGCTCCCAAGGACTACTCTCCAGTCTGTGTCCAGCGCCCTCGCCTGCCCTCGCCGGGTCTTCCTGGCTGCTCTGAGGGGCCTAGGATGTGCTCTCTGTCCTCAGGTACACTCCCGGAATGGGCTAGAGATGCTTGGCACTGATATTATCGAGCAGACCGAAAGAAGCAAGGACCAGGTCCCAGGGTCTCGACCTCTCAGGAGACCCCCTCTTTAGCCCAGGTAGCCCCTGCTCGGGCCGGAAGTCCCAGTCCTAGGCCCTCCCATTCTCTCCCATGGCCCCCCAAGGCAGGCCAGCTCCCCGGCCCCACCCTGACCTCTGGCAGGTCACCAGCCGCTGAGGTGCCCTCTGGCTCCAGGGAGGGCTCCAGGAGACTGATGGAGCGCATGACCCCTCGGAGGTTGATGCGCGGCCGCGGCCCAGGCTTTGCCTTCGGGGCCACCTGGCTCTCCTCCGAGCCGGTGACCTTCACCTCCCCACCACCCCCTGGTTCTGGTGGAAGAGGTAGGAACGATGGAGAGACTTCAGGGGCCGGGGGCTCCTCCGGGGAGACCCTCCCCGCTTTCTGCTCCCAGACGTGGCTCTGGCGGCTGTGGGGGGGTGGCCTTAAGTCAGCTTCGAGCGATCCAGCCGCCACCCCGGCCCACATGCCCTCGCCCCCTTCCGCTGGCTCCCCACCCACACCTGGCAGTCAGGATGCCCTGGTAGGTTTGCAGCTGGCGCAGGAAGCCAGGGTTGGGGCGGGCGACGGGCCGGAGTTCCTGCACGTGGTGCAGCGCTTGCTCCAGGCTCCAGCCATACTGCTTCATGGCGTAGGCCAGCACCGTGGCCGCCGAGCGGCTGACGCCCATCTTGCAGTGGACCAGCACCCGGGTGCCCTGCGCTCTGTGGAGGTGGGACACGGTCAGTTTCCATCCCTCCCCTCCCGGGGCAGGACAGAGGACCGGGAACACGGGGAGCAGGAAGGAAGGACACTGAATGCCGGAAGGGGTGACACGTGATGGCAGATGGCCAGGAGGAGGGCGCCGGGGACCGTGTGAAGCCAAGGTGGGGTGGGCTGGGGCCAGCCACCAAGACGTAGGGTGGCGGCCGGAGCCGGGAGGACCTGACCTCGCAGCCTCGATGAAGCAATGTGTCTCTTTCCAGTAGGGCAGCAGCTGGGCCGACTCCTCGTCCCAGAGACGCACGTTGTGGTAGGTGAAGCGCTCGGGGTAGAAGTTGTCGATCTCCCGGGCCATGTTCAAAATGTGGGTGACCCTGTCCCAGAGGGCCCAAGGCCAGGCTGATGTGAGTAGGGACCCCAGGCCTGGCCAGCCCTGGGCCTCTCTGTTTAGTTCTTATTTCCAAGTCAGGTGGCAGCAGCTGTGATCATGGGGAAGAGAACTGACCCGGCTGGCAGACAACTGTGACCTTGAGCAAATCATTTGACCTTGCTGGGCTTGAGATTCCCTAGTCCAGATGGTCAGGTCACCTGCCCGCCTGTCATTCTCGGAAATTAGTTAAAGAACAGCTTTTGCGCCAAGCAGTGGGCTCACAGGGTTATAGCGGCTCGCCTAGAAGCCCGTGGTGGGCGATGCCAGGTACCTAACAGAGCAGGTAGCCAGGTCCCCACCCAGAGAAGAGCAGGGGAGAGGAGCCTCTTTCTGCTTGGAAAAGGCAGCAAAGGGCTCAGCTGAGCCTTATGTCGGCTCATACTCCTCCTTCCCAGATATAAGATCAGTGCTCTGAATCAGTGGTCCCAACTTTTGGATTTCATGGGCTAACAAAATGTTTTTTGGGTTTTTTTTTTTTTTTTTTGAGTTACGGTTTCACTCTGTCACTCAGCCTCGACCTGCTAGGCTCAAGCAATCCTTCCGCTTAAGCATTCCAAGTAGCTGGAAACAACAGGCATGCGCCACCACATCCAGCTAATTTTTTAATTTATTGTAGAGACAAGGTCTCACCATGTTGCCCAGGCGGGTCTTGAACCTGTGGGCTCAGGCAAATCCTCTTGCCTCTGCCTCCCAAAGTGCTGGGATTATAGTCACGAGCCACCGCGCCCGGTTAACAAAATATTTAAAAAGAGTTTTCTCAAAGGGGGTGTGGAAAAAGGAGGGAACGTGACTGACATAGCTGCCTATTTTGGTTTCCGCCTAGGAAGGAGGTTGCTACTGCCATTATTTCACTCAAGAAATGTTTGTCACCAAAGAAATATAAGGGCCAGGCACGGTGGTGCATGCCTGTAATCCCAGCACTTAGGGAAGCCGAGGCAGGAGGACCGCTTAAGGCCAGAAGTTCAAGACCAGCCTGGGCAACATAGCAAGACCTCATCTCTACAAAAAAATCAAAAAATTAGCTTGGTGTGGCAGCGCGTGCCTGCAGTCCCAGTGACTTGGGAGGCTGAGGCAGGGGGATCACCTGAACCCATGAGTTTGAGGCTGCAGTGTGCCATGACGGTGCCACCGCACTCCAGCCAGAGCGACAGAGTGAGACCCTGTCTCTGTACTTGCTTTATGGCGTGCTCAGGAGAGAAGAGTGGACCGGGGCTGGCTGGCAGGGCAGCCGGGTCGCCGTCCTGGCCCGGCCTGAGCCCACACCAGGGCAACAGTCCAGGGGCCGAGCGCTGGCAGTTGCTGAGGGTGGCCTGGGGGTCTCGGGAGCTGGCCAGGAGAACCATGGTGGAGGCGGAGAGAAGGGGAAAGAGGACGGGCAGCCTGGAGGGGGCGTCACCCTACCCGTTCCTCTGCAGCTCCTCCAGGTTGGCCGCGTTCCACTCGGAGCCCTGTGGATGGGGGGCAGCTCAGTCGCCCTGGCCTCCAGCCCCCGCCCTCGGCGGCCCCTCCAGCTGCAAGCGGTCCCGTCCCCCTCGGCTCAGCCGTGACTCACCAGGTAGAGGTGGGGGAAGATGCGGGAGGCCCGGTCCTGCTGGGCCATGAGCAGCAGCGTCTGGTTGTCGATGAAGTCACGGTACTGCCGGAGGGGGCAGCCCAGGCGCAGCTCCAGGGCCTGGCGGATCTGCAGACGGAGCCGGAGGGAAGCCAGGCTGCGGGCTCTGCGGTGCCTGGACCCCCGCCCCGCCCTCTGGGGCCTGAGGACAGCACCCTGTCCTGTCTGGACAGCCTGGGCTGAGGCCACGGCCTCTGGGAATGGCTGAGGACAGAGAAAAGCAAGGTAGGAGGGGCTCCCGGGAGAGCAAGCTCTCGGCCCCGCCCACCTCTTTGGAAGTGATGCTCTCGAGGTCGCTGGCGTCCAGCAAGTCCCACAGCTCAGCCCGGATGGCCTGCTCCATCTGCTCCTGTTCCGAGGGCCTGGGAGCAGAGCGACTGAGGGGTCTCCTCCCCTCTCCACCAGGGCACCCCCCCGCCTTTCCTGCCCACCCTCCACCCAGGCGCTCCCCGCCCCGCGCTGACCGGCCAGGCTCGGCGCTGGGAGGTCGCAGCGACTCCAGGTCGGCCATGGCCATCCACTCGTTGACACAGCTCTGGTCCGAGTTCAGTCTCTCCTGGTAGTGGCCGGCCCAGGTGAGGGCACTGCCACCTGGCACGAGGCCGCTGCCGAGAGCCGCCTCACAGGCCTGGTGCAACACCTGGAGCGTGGCCCTGGGACAGGAGAAGAGGCTGGGTCACACCGTCCTCCCTGCTGCCTTCCTCAGGGAGCCGCGGCCCTCTGAGAAGGTGAGGCCGGCCAAGTCGGCCGGACTCCAGCGCTTACCACATGGTCTGGACAGAGATGGGCTTGAAGATTCGGCTCTGGCCACCAGACGTCACGCTGAAGCCCCTGCAGGAGACCAGGCCAGGGTGGAACCAAACTCTAGGCTCTGGGACAGAGAGCCGGCCCATTTGCCAGACACAGGAGGCCGAGGACCAGAGAAGTTGGATAACTTGCCCAGGATCACACAGCAAATCTGAAGTAGGGCTGCGAGTAGGCCCCAGACCCCGACTCCCCGCCTAGAGCTCTTCCCCAGTGCCCAGTCCCCTTGTCCTCTCTGTCCCGCTCAGTTATTCCACCCTCCTGGCCTCTGCTCTCCCCTCTTGCCCCCCGCTCCAGTGGTCATCTCTTACCCATCTCCATCTAAGTACACCTGGGTGTCGCTCCAGAGGGACAGGACCAGGCCCAGGGTGCAGCTGGGGGAGCTAGCAGGGGACAGAGGAGAGCCACTGCCACCCAGGCCTTCACCTCCTCCCCCTCCCTTCCTCTCCCTGCTCCCACCTGCCATCAGGGAAGTCCACCCCCAGGAGGACGGTCTCATCTTGGCTCTGATGTTCTCTCGTGGAAACCACCAGCAGGTAGCGGAGCCGGGGAGGCCGGGCTGCCTCCAGCTGGGCTGCCTGGGGAAGATGGGGAGGGACAAGCCCAGGGTCACAGCGGCCCCAAGGACCCAGTTCCCCCATCCCTGGATAGCCCCTGGCCTAGAACAGTTGCCCACCTCGCTCCGTTCCCATCCCCCCTCTTCCCAGATATGAGATCAGGGGCTCGGATCCAGTGGTCCTCGACTTTTGGATTTCATGAGCTACCAAAATGTTTAAAAAGAGCTTTCTCAAAGCGGGGGTTTGTGGGAAAGGGGGGGAACGTGACACAGTTGCCCACTTTTGGCTTCTGCCTAGAAAGGAGGATGCCACTGCCATTGTTGCACTCAAGAAATGTTCATCACTGGGAAAATAGAAGGGCCAGGTGCAGTGGCTCGTGCCTGTAATCCCAGCATTTAGGGAGGCTGAGGGAGAAGGATCGTGTGAGTTCAGAAGTTCAAGACCAGCCTGGGCAATGCAGCGAGACCTCATCTCTACAAATTAGCTGGGTGTGGCAGGCTCGATGGCTCAGCCTGTCATCCCAGCACTTTGGGAGGCTGAGGCGAGTGGATTGCCTGAGCCCGCGGGTTCAAGACCCACCTGGGCAACTTAGCGAGATCTTGTTTCTACAATAAAAAATCAGCCGGGTGTGGTAGTGCGAACTTGTGGTTCCAGCTACTTCAAAGGCTGAGGCAGAAGGATCGCTGGAGCCCAGCAGGTCGAGGCCGTGGTGACCGGGAGCCTGCCACTGCACTCCAGCCTGGGCGACAGAGTGAGAGTCTACCTCAAAAAAAAAAAAAATTAGCTGGGGGTAGCAGTGCATGCCTGTAGTCCCAGCTACTTGGCAGGCTGGAGTGGAGGATCGCCTGAGCCCAGGAGTTTGAGACCAGCTTTGGCAACACAGCAAGACCTTGTCTCTACAAAAATAAATAAATTATAAATAAATAAACATTAAAATATTAGTGAGGTATGGTGACACACGCCTGTA